GAAAAATTCGAAATTTGGCAGCTAAGGCGACCTAAAAAGATGGTCGCCGAAATTCTATTAACAGCCGGCCATAAAGATCGGCACAAATATTCAAGACCCCGGCCCCCTGGCCGGGTAAAGATACAAAAATAAACCGTCCATAAAGACCGGTAAAATATTCAAAGACCCCAACCCCTTGGTCGGGTAAAAGAGATACAGAAACAGACGGCACGCAGGCCGAAGAAAAGAAATAAGAAGACATAAGCATCAAGATGGGGGCAGATCTTCAACAACAACAGCCGCCTGAGAAGCATTCTTCTTGCTTGTCTCGGCATCAGCTGCACCCTTTTTAGACGCATCCGCCCCAATCGGCACCAAGGCCACTATTGGCTCCTCCCCTCCTCTAGCGCATCATTCTCAGCAGCCGCTAGCAGGACTTCTTGGTTATACGTTTCAGAGCATTGGCGAAATTGTTTTTCCCAAGAAGCAAAGTCGGCGTTTGGAAAGAAGCGAGTCTAGGTCATGCGCTGGATTTGGGCCGAGTCCTCCATCATGTCTCGAACCAAATCCTTCTTCTCTAGCTCAGCCTTGGCCGAGAGCTCTTCAGTGAGGCTCTTCTCCTGGTTTACCAGGCGTTCCTTGACACGCTCCAAGGATTTCTCCAAGGTGTCGTATTGGCTCATCTTTTGCTTAAGAGGCTTCAGCTCGGCTCTAAGGTTCTGGATGGTCGCCTCCAACTCATTGTTTTTCTTCTTGGCCGCCTCCAACTCATTCCTAATAGCAGAAGTAGCCTGCGCCTGATAATAAAGAATATCAGTTGTCAAAATATCATTTTGGGCAATTTGAAACATTGTCTTGTCACAGTCAGAGGCGGCCATGGCTTTAGCAGCCTTTACCTCTTTGTTCTTCGCATTAATTGGCTTGCGAAGGTCGTGTACTCGCAGCAAGGACTGTAAGAGGAAGCAGGCGTCAGGATCCAAAACTATGTACAACATGAACCATTAAACAGTGAAAATACGCTAAGTATACCTCAGCAAGGAGCCCTGCAATTCCATCTAGGTCAAGGGTGTCGACACCCCGGACCGCGTCTCTCTCTGCTAGAGGGACGGCTTTAATCATGGACTTGGCCACTTCGACCAGGTCCGTTTCTTGAGGGTCGGCTGCATCAAAAGTAAACAGAAACTTTAGACATGAAGGTGAAAGAAAAGTGAGTCGAAGTCTAGAAGAGCAGTTTCATACTTCTAGGCGGCCTGCTGGGATTTTCAGATGGAGTGGATGGCTGTTTGTCAGCAGCCAACAGTCTCCTGGCAGAACCAGATGAACTCCCCACGATCGTCTTCCGGGCTTTGGGGTCTGGCTGTTGGGAGGAGGAAGCTCTTTGGGTGCCCGTCTACAAAAAGACGAATGGTTAATATTTGTATAAACCCAACCTTTTAAAAGAAAAAGGGGGAAGGTGAAAGCTGGGAACTCACTAAGGGCGTCTCCTTGGTTGGAGAATCAGCTGATGAGTGTTGTTGCATGACGGATGCTCGCAGCAGAGCAGCCGCTGTTTTGGAGGCGGTTATTTTGCTCATGGCTTCTGCTGCATAAAGGAACACGAAAGTTAGAAAAATTCAGAAATAATTTCCACAAGAGTACGCATTCAACAGATCGGCTACCACTAGAGCACCGACTGCTAAGGCCACAGGCGGCCAGGAAGTACTCATCATAGAGCCATTTGTAATTTGGGACGCAGTTCAGGGGTACTTGCTCTCGTACCCCTGTAGTAGAGTTGGCCCTGGTCTCTACTTTAAAGAGACCTTGGTCTAGGACTCTTTTTTAGCTTTGTGAGGGACAGGCGGCATGCTGCGACCGCCTGCAAGAAGAGGCGGATCTCTGTTCCATCTATTGAAGCGTTTGTTCAGCTCTTTGTCTGAACTCTCAATAATAAGGAAGGTGCTTCTCCAATCCTTCCATTTGTTCTCTTTACCTCTTGTCATGAGGTAGCCTCGGTGGCTCGTCAATTGGTACCAGCCGGTACCGCCTGCTTTAAGGGTCCGGCTGAGATAGTTCATATGGGAAAATGCCTCGAAATATGGCTCCACCCCATACATTTCACATCCGGCTACATAGCCGAGAACATTGAACCAGGAATTTGGGGCTAACTGCCATAACCCCAACTCATATCTGTCAAGGATTTGTTGAACAGCCGGATGTAAGGGGAAGCGCAGACCAGCCCTAATGGCCGCCTCATAGCAGCCAAAGCAGGCGCTATCATAATTGGTCCCAGCCGGCCAGACGACTGTGTCTTCCAGATCTGGCACAAAAACCAGAAAGCCAGGGCCCATTACATGGTCCGCTGCGAAACTGCCCACTTTTTCTTGCATGGCCTTGATTCGGCCTTTCGGAACGATGCAGTAGTAGGGAGTGTTCTGCTCTCTTAGAGTGGCGGATGGATCCGCTCAACTGTCCCCCTTCTCGACTGCATGGGAAAGTCTCGCCTCATGTAGGCGGTCGTGCCCCTCCTCTAAGTCGAGAGAAAGGTGACCTGAAGAGTTGGAGTCAGACTCGTCCTCTGAAGAGTCCGACTCCTCCCCTCTCCCTAAGGGGCCCGCCTCCTCTCCTTCAATAGGAGCGGGAGAATACGTAGACATGTCTACGGTAAAATGAGAAGGGACCACCTTGATCCCTCCCTCAAAGCTATTGGCAGCCGAGCCGCCTTGGTTCACTTCAACATCTGGCGTATGGTCAGATGTTTCACTAATCGGCACCTGGAAGGAGGAGTCGTCCGAATTGGTGATCCTAGCTGTTCTTTTTGTTCTGGCCATTATGTTCTGCATAGACACAGAGACAGTCAGACTTTGTATAAAGGGCAAAGATTGTTTGAAAAGGGGCAGGCGGCACTCCTAGTCCTAGACTCAGCCGTCCCCGGTGACCGGCTGATCACTAACCTAGGTCGTGTCGTGTGCTTCCGAGGTGCCATTTCAAAAAGAAAAAAATAAAGAAATGAAAAAGAATAAGAGAACGGACGGTTACCTGAACGATTGAAAAGTTGAAGAAGATCTGGAAAAGTAATCCGAATATCAGCCGGCTTGTCAGAACAGGCGGTAGGCTGGAAATGTCCAAAATGTCAGAGCAGGTTCAGGGGTCCGAGTGTTCTCTTAAAAAGTTCTCAAGTGTGAACAAATGTGAAGTCAACATGCCCTTATATAGGCAAGGGAAGAAGTTGAAGGGACACTCTTCAAATTCGAAAATGAGCGGGAAAAACTCCCGGCCTTTCACCAAATGACACCTGTAGCATGCCGTCGCCTATTATGGGCCGACACCTGTCATAGGTGACATGTGACCAGTCACGTGCCACCTGTGAGGGTCAAATGATTAAGGGATTTTGCTCCCACCAATCGGAATGCGCCACGTGGGCCAATCAGGTCCTGCCACGTGTCCTCTAATTGGACCTGTCAGAGCCTGCCACGCGGCACGTGCCTATTTGTCCACCATGGACCTATTATGTCACGACACGTGGCATCCTCCATGCCTAATGGAAAAACCGGTCATCTAGGACCAACTTCCAAGGGAAGCCCAATCAGCCCTAGGTTAACCTAAACCTAGGATTGGCACGCTTCCCAAGGTTATAAATACCCTCATTAATCCTCATTAAAGGGGATTACGCTCAAAAATTACTCTCACCTAGAGAAATACACTTTACTTTTCCGCATTACTTACTCCTAAAACAAGTACTAATTTGACCGTCGGAGGCGGAGCTCCAACCACTCGGAGTCTCCGTTTGTTTTGCAGGTACAGGCGTCCGATTCCAGTTTCGGAATTGTAACTCTCTCGCAGAACATCAAAAAACCCCGAAACAATAACTTTTACAGAAGTTTATAAGCCCTTAATAATAATGACTTGAATCCTTCAAACAATGGAGTAAAAGTGTATTTGCATGGAGTCAGATCCTCTAATTGAATGTCGAGGGTTTGGCCCAATTATGTCTTAGAATTGTTAGAAGACTTAATTTAATCCGTTTGAATTTTTTTTTTAAGGCTAACTTTATGTTCTAACCATCCCAAATTGTATTTAATTAATTTAGATTTAAAAAAAAAAATACAAATGGGGTAACATCATGGTTTGGCTCAAATTTAATTAATTTAAGTAATTGTGTACACTAATAAATTTTTAGTGTTTACACCAATATGTTGCTTGTATAAATAGACATTGAGTATGATTTAAAAAAGTAAAAATGAGGGATTTTAAGCGTCAACTAATGAGTTTATATGATGATACCTAGGGGTAATGATGAGCTGAGTCTGTTCGTGAACATTTTAAGCTAGGCTCGGTCAAAATTTGATCAAAGTTTGGTCAAACCTTAATTCGTGGTGGCTCAGCTCGGGTTTGAGTTTGGCTCGAGACCTTAACGAGTCGAGTAACTCAGCTTAAAATGTTAGTGAACAAGCTTGATTATTTTTTTTCCCACGTAACCAAAACATATATAAATATAAATATATTTATCATAGATATTACACAATGATAAGTTAAACTCATAATATAGAAAATTTAATAATGAACATTAAAGAAGTCAAGTAAACTAAGGATAATAATAAGTCAAGATTATTCATGAGCAATTCGAATTCGGCTCGATCAACACTTGATCAAAACTCGACTCATAGAGGTTTGTGGAGGTTTGTGCTCGGCTCGCCCGATTAGCACCCCTAATGATACCCTTCATTGATAAAATGGTAAAAAAAAGACTTCTGATGTACGGAGTAAGAGAGAAGCACCAAGTGACTAATACAAAGAGATTCTCAAGTAGGATTAGAAACGGTTAATGGAAGCGTTAAGCCAAGAAGATGAAAGTTTAGACATCTTATTAGGAAGAAAAAATACCCTGGTGTTCACTCTAAGCGTCGATAAGTTCGGAATACTACGGTATAAAGTCAAACTCTACTATTATTGTCAATGCATTTTATTTTTTTTCCCCTTACTAAAATTGCAACAATAAATTTGGGGAACTATAATCGTATACTTGTACTCTCGTATAATATTTCCACAAAGCATTTCCCTGATTAAGTCGGACATATTAAGATGCTAATAATAGTATAATACCAAATAGTCAGAGTTGGGACAAAACAGACATTGAATATAGCAGACCAAGCTCATCTTAAAAATGAACACAGCTGCATTTAAGCAAAATTTTAATAGGGAATACGAAAGATATTGTTTCTACTAGATAGGGAACGAAATCAAAATTCTTCAAAAACTGCCCATACAAAACCAAGGCAGAGAACTTAGTCGACTTCCTCAATCTTGGGTCCTGGGCCGCTTGCGGCAGCAGGACCTTCATCATCATCCATGGGAGCACCACCCGTCTCACCGCCAGCACCTTGGTACATCTTTGCGATGATGGGGTTGCAGATGCCCTCAAGCTCTTTCATCTTATCATCGAACTCATCAGCCTCAGCAAGCTGGTTGCTGTCAAGCCATTGGATTGCACTGTCAATGGCTTCCTCGATCTTCTTCTTATCAGCTTCTGAGAGCTTGGAGCTGATCTTCTCATCCTTCACGGTGTTTCTCATGTTGTAGGCGTAGTTCTCAAGAGCGTTCTTTGACTCGACCTTCTTCTTGTGCTCTTCATCCTCAGACTTGTACTTCTCGGCCTCTTGAACCATCTTCTCAATCTCTTCCTTTGAGAGCCTGCCCTTGTCATTTGTGATGGTGATCTTGTTCTTCTGCCCGGTGGTTTTATCCTCAGCAGACACATTCAAGATACCGTTGGCATCAATATCAAAGCACACAGTGATCTGAGGAACACCCCTAGGTGCTGGTGGAATGCCAGAAAGCTCAAATTTACCAAGCAAGTTGTTGTCCCTTGTTCTTGTTCTTTCTCCCTCATAAACCTGGATCAACACACCAGGCTGGTTGTCGGAGTAAGTTGAGAACACTTGTTCCTTCTTGGTTGGGATGGTTGTGTTCCTTGGGATCAACACTGTCATGACACCTCCAGCTGTCTCCAAACCCAGAGATAGAGGAGTAACATCCAACAACAAAAGATCCTGCACCTTCTCGTTGCCCTCACCACTCAAGATAGCGGCTTGGACAGCAGCCCCATAAGCAACAGCCTCATCAGGGTTAATGCTTTTGCAGAGCTCTTTGCCGTTGAAGAAATCTTGCAATAGCTGCTGGACCTTGGGAATTCTGGTAGAACCACCAACAAGAACAACATCGTGTACAGTGCTCTTGTCCATCTTTGCATCTCTCAAACATTTCTCAACTGGCTCCATACACTTCCTAAACAAATCCATGTTCAACTCTTCGAAACGGGCACGAGTAATGGTTGTGTAAAAGTCAACACCCTCGTATAGAGAATCAATCTCAATGGTTGTTTGAGCAGTAGATGAGAGAGTCCTCTTTGCTCTCTCACAAGAAGTCCTCAACCGTCTAAGAGCTCTAGGATTGCCATTAATGTCCTTTTTGTGCTTCCTCTTAAACTCTTGCACAAAGTGATTAACCATTCTGTTATCAAAATCTTCACCACCAAGATGGGTATCTCCAGCGGTGGCTTTAACTTCGAAAATACCCTCTTCAATAGTGAGAAGAGAGACATCAAAAGTACCACCACCAAGATCAAAGATCAAGACATTCTTCTCACCAACACTGGTGGCCTTCTTGTCAAGACCGTAGGCAATGGCAGCTGCGGTAGGCTCATTAATAATTCGCATAACGTTCAAACCAGCAATAACTCCAGCGTCCTTTGTGGCTTGACGCTGAGAGTCATTGAAATAGGCAGGAACTGTCACAACAGCGTTCTTCACTGTTGAACCAAGGAACGCCTCAGCGATTTCTCTCATCTTAATGAGAACCATCGATGAAATCTCCTCAGCCGCAAACTGCTTGTCTTCACCCTTGTATGAGACGACAATCATAGGTTTGTCACCAGCACCAGGGATCACCTTGAATGGCCAGAGCTTCATGTCACTCTGAACTGAAGCATCACTGAATCTTCTACCAATCAACCGCTTAGCATCTGTGTCAATAAAGTCGGATAAAACATGTAAGACACGAATTCTAGGAATAATATCACTAACATGATTTAAATTTTAATAATGTACTGAAAATGTGAACATTACATCAGATACAAGAACTCTTATGAACCAATCGAGAGCTATAATTCCTATTCAGAACTGACAAAGTGACAATTACTCCCATGTTATTTAGAACTACTGGAGACACTTCATTTTACATCACTAAAGAAGGCGATTCAACAAGTAAATTTGAAGATGGCTAGAACATAGACTAAATTAGATTCGTTAGTCATTAACACATGATTACGACGATATAGCATGATACCTCAATTTACTTCAATTCCAAATCTAAATCTCCAATATATAGCATGATACCTCACAACATATAAGCTGTATATTTAATCTCCATAATATACTCTAATTTAGATAGATCTATTTTATCATATAAAATTATAAGATCTCAAAAATATTAACAAATTTAGATCTGAGAACCGACAAAACTAGATCACAGAGCAAGCTGGTCAATCGATTTCAACTTAATTATGGAAAATAAAGGTGAATTACAGCAATTAATACCATAAAACATCAACGTAAACATCACAAACACGAACATGCCAATGAAAATTTACACAGCATCAATTAAACTTCATGAAGCATCAATAACAACAAAATCTCAATAGAATTGTGAAAAACAACAGTTCAACACAGAATTAGCAGGAAAATCAACAGATCTAGAACAATAACAAACGAACACAACAAAATTGAAAAGAAAATTCAGAAAACGAACCAAAAACGGTGTTGACAGGGTTCATGGCAACCTGATTCTTAGCAGCATCACCGATCAACCTCTCGGAATCGGTGAAAGCAACATAAGACGGTGTCGTTCTGTTACCCTGATCATTAGCAATGATCTCAACACGGTCGTGTTGCCATACTCCAACACACGAGTAGGTCGTGCCGAGATCGATACCGATCGCCGGACCTTCACCTTTACCGGACATTGTTGTGCACACTGTTTTTAGAGAGAAAGGGAAAAGAGGAGAGAGAAAATTGAGAATTTGGTTGCTGCAAAATTGGGGAAGAATAAAATGGGTTTGAAATTAGGGTTTGGAGGAAGAGGGGTTTATATAGGAAGTGGGGGAGTTTGTTGGTTCTAGAATGTTCTTGGTTGATGATTTTAAGCAGGAATTAAGGACGGTGGAAAAAGCTTAACGGGAAGGAGCAAGGTAATATACAGCTATTATTGCGTTGATTTTTATTTTTTTTTATTGTTACTTTTTGTTTAGTGGGTTCACATGCTCCTTTAGTGGCCGACTTTGGCGGTTTCCTTAAACGGTTTTGATTTGAATCTTCCACTTTGTTGGAAATTTTAATTATTTTTAAAAATACATTAAGTTATATATTATGCATAGTCCTTAGGACTACATATAAGTATAAAATTTGCTCTAATAAATTGTAAAAAGTTAGAAAATTATAAAAATATAAACACTAATTACACTGATTTACGCGTATTTTTGTCATAAATTCCTAATTTTATACAATTTTCAAGAGTATATTTAATGCTTATATATAGCCCTTAGATCTACATATAGCATTACCCTAAGTTAAATATCTTCATTTTAAAAAAAAAATATTTCATTTGTAAATCAAATCAAATTATATCATATCACTTATAAATAAAGCCGGTCTCGCAGCCGAGTCACGAGACAGCGACACTTGACATTCCAGTTTTTCGCATCATAACTTTTAATATCTAATAACTTTTAATAAATATCTAATAACTCGGTTCTGTTTCCATCATAAAATTTATTTTAAAAAGTTCCTTAAAATAAGATTCATTTATAATACTCCCTCCGTCCCATAATATACTTCTTGTTTGTGTTTTTTCACGGTATTTAAGAAATAAGAGGAGAAAGTGGATGAAGTACATTAATAAAAGTGAAAAGTGCAATCATAGACAAAAGTTAGAGAGAGAAAGTGTAAAAAAGTACAAGGCATGTACAAAATTCAAGGGTAAATTAGAAGGTACAATGAATAAAGTTAAAAAAAGTGATGGTATAATAGTCTTTACATACTATCCAAAAATAGAAACAAAAACAGCATTTTGGCTCTCCAAAATAGGAAAACATGAACTATATTAGAGAATTAGTAAAAAAAAATAAATAATCAATAAAAATAGTTTTAGTTTAGTAAAAATACTTTCAGTTTAGTAAAAATAATTTAAGTATGATATCGCATGTCTAAATATCCTGCATTATCAAAACGGATCGGGTTATATGACAGTATTTAACATTTAAGCCAAAAAGTTTATACTAAAATCCAATAAACAACCTGGGCATCGCCCGAGGCACAAAACTAATATATATATATATAAAGGGGAGTTATTTCCCGAGATTTTAGAGTGCCACGTAGGATTAGTATTTTGAAAACGCTTCAATAGGATTATGCCACTTAAGATTAGTTTTTTTAAAGTGCTAAGTAGGATTATAATAAATATATATATATATATATATATATATATAAAAAAAAGCGCCACGTAGGATAAATTTTTCTAAAACACTACAATAGGATTATGCCACGTAAGATTACTTTTTTTTTTTAAGTGCTACGTAGGATTATAATGAAAAATAAAAAATTAATAGAGCGACACATAAGATTATTATTTTTAAAAATTTATCATGAATAAAATTAAATGATTTATTTGGGTCATCAATGGAACCAACATTATGAAAAAAATTTACAAAAATTACATGAAGGAGAGTTTTTCAAGATATTGTAGAGCGTCACATAGGAAAGTCTTATATATTAGCCAATGAAAAAAAGAATTGTAATTTTTTTATATCCAAAATTTATATTAATTATAAAAATAAAATCAGCTTGTTTTTTGCGTGGCCGGCTGAGAGACACCAAAACACTAACCGGGTAACTCCGACCAAGTAATTCCGATCACACGGTGTGGCTAGCCACACATGAAATTTTGTGAAATAAAACATAATTTTTTTGTATAAGGAATTTTATCTAAATATGAGAAACAAAATTAATAATTCATTTTATAATTAAAAAAAATTCAAGTAGTAAGCAAACGAATATCACAAAGTTTATTAGATAAATATATAATTAGAAAAATATGTTATTTGAAAAAATACAAACAAACCGTGCATCGCACGGGCTTCATCTAGTAGGTATTATTGTGACACATATTTTATTTGGATAGATTTTTTAAGATGAAATTGTTTAATAAAGTTTTATTATCGATAGAATTCTAATATTTCATATATACAAAATTAATCATAACTTTTAATAAATATCCTACAACTCAAATCTATTTCCATCATCAAATTCGTTTAAAAAAGTTTTTTAAAATAAGATACATTTATAATATATTTAATCACAAACTTTTATACGTAGCTAGCCAAACTGTGTCACCAACTATTACAAGATCAGAGTTACTTCGTTGGTGCTATAGGGGTTACTTGGTCAGTATGATAGTGGTTACTCAATCATTGCTATAGATAGGGGTTACTTAGTCAGTGTTAGATGTTACTCAGTTAGTATTACAAGGGTTACTCGATCAGTTTTTTAGGGGTTACTTTGTCCGGCCAGATGGTGTGGTTAGCCGCATACAAAATGCATTGTAATTTAATTTATTTTAAAAAAAAATATTAGAGAATCGGTAAAATAAGTTTTAATCAGTAAAAATAATTTTAGTTTGGTAAAAATACTTTCAGATCAGTAAAAATAATTGAAGTTCAATAATAACATAGATATCTATTTACAAACAAAACTATACAAAGTACACTCTATATGATATCGTATGTCCAAATATCCTACATTATCAGAATGAATTATTTGACCGTATTTACCATTCAAGTAAAAATGTTATCTTAAAATTTTATCAACCATCTGGGCATCTCCCAAACACAAAACTAGTCACTAATAAATAAAGTCAGTCTCGCAGTCAGGTCACAAGACATCGACACTTGGCATTCCAGTTATTCGCCAAGTGTCGTGCCATGTAGGCGACAAATAGATATTATTATGACACACATGTTGCTAAATAATTGATTTTTGGATAGAATTTTGAAGATAAAAATGTTGTAAGAGTTTTATTATCGATACACTATTAATTTTTCATATATACAAAATTAATCATAACTTTGAATAAAAATCTAATAACTTGGTTCTATTTCTATCATAAGATTTATTTTAAAAAGTTCTTTAAAATAAGATCCATTTATAATATATTTTAAATAATAGAGAATTAGTAAAAATAAGTTTTAACCGGTAACAATGTTGGATATTTAGAGTGTTGATGGTTACGCGCTCGCGCCTATGAAGAGCGTTCGCGCAAGGTAGGCGCGGCCGCGCAGAGAGCGCGCCTAAACCGCGCACCTATCTGGAAATCAGCAAATTGGAAGGGTGTGGTTGGCGCGCCCGCGCGGCTGGTGGCGCGACCACGCGTCCTGGTGGAGTGCCCGCGCTGCTGGTCGCGCCTAAACCGCGCCCCTCACTGCCTTCTTGTGGAATCTCGCAGATTTTGGGAGGCGCGCCCGCGCTGAAATGTGGCGCGCCCGCGCTTCCAGGTGGCGCGCCCGCGCCTCTTGTGTCGCGCCTCCCTGTTTTGTGGTTTTTCCTGACGGTTGAGTCTTTTATCAAAAGAAAAATTTTCGTGAAAGAAGAGCAACAGAAGTTAATTCTTCATCTCTTTAAAAAGTATTCTCCACATTTTCTCTCAAATTTCTTGCAAACTTTTGTGAGAAAAACTCTTTCAATTAATCAAATCTTGGTGAATTTTTCATCTTTATTTCGATTCTTAGTACAAAGAACGAATTGCTGTCTTTTGTATCTCAAAGAGGATTTCCGGATTGAACCCAAGCACCGTTGTGGGGGAAATTAACCTCTTTAGGAAAGTGTATACACGCCTAAAACAGAATATCAAGGATTGAGACTCAAGTGGTCATCAACGTTCTCATGTTCATGTTCTTGGTGAAGGCTTGGAGTTAAGGCAAGTATAGAATTTTTCACATTAGTGTTTTCTTTTGTAATTTCTGAATTACATCACTAGACGAAAAAGATAAAACGGCACCGGTTCAAATCCCCCCTTTGGCACCGATTTTGAACCGTTGGGTATTTTAGGGATGCCAAATCCATGAAAATTTGGCACCGGTGCCAACTAAAGCATTTAACCGGTGCCAACTATCATGGCGCGATTTTTTTTATTTTTTATTTTCAATACTATTGGCACTGGTTCAAAGAAAGAACCGGTGCAAAAAACCCCACTTTAGGCACCGGTTCTTGATTTGAACCGGTGCCAAAAGTGTAAAAAAATTTTAAAAACCTTTTGGCACCGGTTCTGGTCAAAACCGGTGCCAAAAATACCCAAAAAAATTATTTTTTATTTTTTTTTTTGCATTTTTTTGCATTTTTTTCACTTAAATTGATATAGAAATATTAACATATATATAAAGTTACATATGTTCATTAAAAAAAGGTTGTAATATTACAATTTTCGTCCAAAAAAAAATCAAAGCAAGGAACGAAAATATCTAAGACCAGCTCCACACTAGCAGCTGAACAGAGGAAGAAGGAACCAGCCAACACACTGCGCCAACCCTCAAGCCCAGCAGGACAGCAGCAGCAGCCAAAAGCAGGCACATAGCACCAGGCAGAGAACAGCACAACAGCAGCCAGAGTAAATAGAGCCAGAAACAGCAGTAGCTGGCAAAGCAGAGAAGGAACAAGCAGCAGCAGTGCACAGACAGAACCAGCAACAAAAACCAGACAGCAGGATGACCAGAAACTAGCAGTCCAGCCTAAAGTAACACAGCAGCCAGCAGCTTAGAGAAATCCCTGGATATAAAATGTAACACCAAGCAACAATTAAAATAGGAGCATTCAAGTATTCAACAGAAGAAACTCCCAGCTAAAAGGATGATATGCATTAAAAAAGTTCTAAAAATTAAATATGGTGCTAATTCATAGGATAGTATAACTATTCGTATTTGAAAAATATAAAATCACCTCAGAAGGCTGATAATTTAAGGACAAGGTCCTGGTACTCTCAGGTTTCCAGACTGCATAAGGGATGTTAGTCTCATGCCAGATGAGAGCTTGTTCATTCCCAAAATCTCTGAATTTTTCATGCTCTGAAAGATAAAACCACATATCCTACAACAAACAAAGATCTATATGTCATGCTTAGAAAGATATAACCATATATCCCAAAAACACAAATATCAAATTAGAAGAAAAACAAAACAATCAGAAAATCAATGTTCTTCCATTGCATAACTCACTGCACTGGTCATGAATGTATAATAAATACGCTTGATGCTCAATAACATAACCAGAAAACACATAAACTCTTGTTTTCTGCTTAAAATTTCCTTCGTCGGTGATACATTGATATATTGACAACTATGTGTCCATGCTGCAATAATCTTGAAAATCCCAAAACACCCAATTCTACAAGGATATTAATTTCTCTGCCTAAAAAAAATACTCATTCCATCAACGCACTTAATAACCTAAGACAAACGAGTGCTCAGCCTCGAGAAACCGGACCAATTATAAAAGAGGTTGTCAACAAAATTAAATATCAATGAAACCTAAAGGAACCAAATTTCCATATAACAGAGTTTTTGGGAAAAATCTAAAACCCACAAACAGAACAATAGCATGTCCATGGATTAAAATTAGAAACCCGGCGGCGGAAAGCTGGAAAGTAGGAAGCCACTCATGTTCATCATTCTTTTTTATAAAAGAGAAATTAGTAACCTGGCCTTAAAACCCCAATTAAACCCTTCACCCAAGAAAATAATTCTTTTTTATATAAACAGCATACACTTCAAATATTCCAAAATTAAAAACCCAGATGTAATATCATAAAACATATAGAATCAGATTAATTCAAACAAATAAACAAACAAACAAGACACATTTAATTCAAATCCAATACTACAAAATCAATAACCAAATAGATCAATGGAGCTAAAACATACTTCAATTGATAAAAAAAAATAAGAAAACCCAGGGCAACAGGAGCTAAAACAGTTAAAATCCCTGATGTTCAAGGTCTGCTTTGGATCGAGGGGTTGGTGTTAGAAACATCTGTTCAACCATTGGTTTAGTCATCAGAGCAGACTTACCAAGTCTCGAATTATTAGTTGGGACAGGACGCCATCCAAGGACTGTATGACCAAGTGATTCTGCAACCTAAAAAGACAACACAAAATTCAACAGTCAAATTTCATAATCTAGAACTCCATTCCAGGGACTGTATGACCAAGTGTTGTGCAAGTGTAATACACTAATAACACTAAACAAACACACAAACTCAAGAATAAAGAGAACAACTGAAAAAGAAGAAAGAGGAAAACCTTGATTGATGGAGCACAACTGAAGAACTCCGCAATGAACTCCACAACTGTATTTACTTATGAGGTTATAATGGCTAGCTTGCATATACGGAGTATGAATTTCACTTTCCAGGCATACATACAAACTGAATACAGCAAATTGTAAAGAAATTGGGAATTTATGCTAGATTGCTGATAGCTCAAGATACTGTCCAAGTCTGAATCCTGAAAATTCAGCTTCTACTGGCAGTGGTCCCCTAAGAAGGATTCAGAATATGATCTTCAATTAAGACATTCCAAAATGGACAAGATGAGATTAGACATTTCCTTTTACAATTTAGACACAGGAGAAAATCATAGTAACATCACAATTATAGAGCCAGACTAGTAGTTTTGAAGATGTCATTAAACTCTAGAAAATGAAACATACCAGGTCTGGTCTTCGTCTCTGCATTTTCCTTCCTATCCTGGCTACTTCTTCAGGACTTTTTGTAGACTTAATAGCCTCAAAACACTCTTGTGCCAGAGGATCCTGAACACCATAAAACTTGTGCGCCTGCAGAGGGAATAGACCTAAAACATCCATATTCCACACAATGTATCTACAGAAATAGCTCAACCAAACACACTGAAAGAACTCAAACAAGAAAAAAACACCAAAAAACTCAAACACCAAAAAACTCAAAATGAATAATTGGACCAAAAGACCAAAATATAACGCACAGCTAAAAGAACTATCCTACGTTTCCAGGATAGAAGAATGTTAAAACTGCCCTCAATTTATAAATTAGTGACCATCACTACTCATTGTTGTTTAATTTCCGTTGTTTTATCTAGCTATGTCAAACCATTGTCATTTCGAATTGGTTTTGGGACTTCAGATTACTAAATTCTAGTATCACTGGTTTAATGTGGATTATGATATTATTGATAACTCTCATAAATGTGCTTATTAATATGATTTTCACTTGTTACTGTGTCTGATCCTTAGTAATGGGAAAATAACACTCTGATTAACTAACCTTTCATTTAAGCTATTTCAACATTAAATCCACATAAAAGCATACAAGTACAAAATTTAACAATTACAAACCAAGACAGGAATTATGAAAACTTTTTGGTTCAACTGACTTAACACATAACGCCTAAATTATCATAAAACCATACCACAAAGCATTTGCCTCCTAAACTAATTTTTATCACATCAATTGCTCTACCAAATACTACTCACCTGTTTCTGGAGAATACTCAATGCAAGTTGCTGAATCTTCATGTTTTCCAATGATGTCATAAACTCCAGAGTGTTGTAAGTCATACCTAAGAAAATCCAGTCGCAGCAAAGTAATAACCATGTTATTCTCAAACATAACATGAAAAGAGGTGTTCTCTTAAATAAATTAATACAAACAAGGGTGAAAATTATGTAGCCAACCGAAAATAAATCAATACACACAAGAAGCTAATTATTGATGAGGCACCCTACATTTGAATCAGGGCAAAGCATGGCTTGGATATAGTCTCCAAATATGGCTATGAAGAGGTGACAAAATTACATTGCAATAACTCCAAAGAAAATACTTACAAGGCATCAACAACATGCATTCTACCAATCTGGTGTCTTGAGTTGCCAGGGATAGAAAGTTGAACATGAGTCACTGGAAAGAACCTAATCAGTCAGCGGAAGCACAAATACAAGTCACCAACTAAACCATAATTAGTTCACACAACGAGAAACTATATATACATCCAATTTTTCTATTAAAAAGCAGAGGAGAATTCATATAGGAAGGCTCTAGATGAGAGTAGAACCTGTGCATTTCATTACAAAATGTTAGAAAAAAGAGCTTTCCAGAATCGGAAATGATAACCAACATGCCTTTCCCTATAACCTGCAGAAGGAATAAAATATGCATTCAATTACAATGCAAGAAAAGAGATGTAGCCATTATGAGCATTAACATGAGGGTTCCTTACATCATGTAAAACCTGTGAGTTATTTTGTCCATATATGTCGAAATATTGATCGGATTACTTTAAGGTCGAGTCGGGTCACTTTTTTACTCATCTAATTAAAAACCCCTGTTATAGTGATAACTGATAAACCCTTAAAAAAAACCTTGACCATAGTTAACTCACAAACCCTTGAGAAAAACAGAGGAATAACACATTTATGATCATAATAAACTAATGGTGAAACCAAAATGAAGAAAAATCAGCAATAAAAATACTAGTACATTGGCAATTTAATTGTAGTTTATTTTACAAGATCAAAGTAAAGAAATGGAATAAAATAAATACACTCAATATTAAATAAATAATGTGCAGTAATTTAATTAAATAAGGAATACTTACGAGACGATGATGAAAATTAGTGGGTAAAATGAGAGAGAAACGAGCAAAATGAAAATTCTTCTAGTAAATTTCTTCTTCCCATGATTTATAATTCCCAGACTCCATTTTTTGTAGTGAAATCTTGTTGAAGAAAGAGAAATTCCACCCTAATTACAAATGGTTGAAGTTATTAAGAAGATGAAGGAGGTGATAACTGATAAACCCATAAAATCCGATCAATAGTTAGAATAGGATATCTAGTGTTAAGGAAAAATATCAGAAAAATTACCGGGTGGTCGGTAGCCGACGCACGAAGGACGACTGAGGGGAACGGAGGGTGGCCGGCGAAGGGTGAGTGGTGGCGGGTAGGACCTACTCTCTCCTTCTCCTACTTATTTTGTTTGACAAAAAATAGAAATAAAACCAGAACCCTAAAATTACAAAATTGAAAACCAAATCAACTACAATCCCTAGGTTGCGAAGAAATTCGGTAGATTAAGAAGACCACAATGGCCCAAATCTTACCTCGAAGCTGCTTCAATGGAGGTGAGAAAACTCAGAATGCGCTTCAATGGAGAATAGAGAGCACGAGTTCAATGGAGGAGAGATATGGAGAGAGAAGGAGGTGCATGCAGCTGCTTCAATGGAATGAGAGAGCTCAAAAGCGGCTTCAATGGAGAAGGTGGGAATTCGGAGGTGGTGGCCTGGAAGAGAAGGTGAGAACGAGGGAAAAAAAAGTTGAAAAATCGGGGGAAAGAAAAGAAGAAGAAGAAATAGCGAGAAGCCCGGTTTTTTTTTTAATTGGCACTGGTTCAAACCGGTGCTAACTACTATAGTTGGCACCGGTTTAAGACGAATCGGTGCCAACTCTATTGCTTTCTTCGGTTTTATTTATTTATTTTTTTTTGGTTGGCACCGGTTTGAACCGGTGCTAATTAGATTAGTTGGCACCGGTTTTGGTTGGAACCGGTGCCAACTCTGAATTTTCCAATCCCGCCCATTTCTTTTGGCACCTGTTTTCAAGAACCGGTGCTAAAGGGGGGTGTCTATATCAAAATTTCTACTAGTGCATCCTTCGCAATTTTCAAACGACTCCAAGTCGAATGAGTCAAGAACACCTTCTTGTAGAAGTTTCTTGATGTGTTTGATGTTAATATGGCCAAGACGACAATGCCACAAGTAGGTTTGATTCGACTCGATGGTCTTAGCCCTTTTGGTGGTATCATTAATGTTATAAATTTATTTGTCAAGAGAAAGCACATAAAGACCATTTTCTAAATATGCCTTACCATATAAAACATTATCGAAATAATATGAACATCTATTGTTCTTAATTCGAAATTCAAAACCTTTGGCGTCCAACGCCGAAATTGAAATAATGTTTTTGGTAACTCTAGGAACATGATAGCAATTGTCAAGTTCTAAAATAAGCCCAGAGGGCAAAGACAAATTGAGAGTTCCAACGGAGACGGCAGACATCCTTGCTCCATTGCCGACCCGAAGCTCGACCTCTCCCTTCTCTAGCCTCCTATTTATCCTTAGCCCTGAGCATTGGAACAAAGGTGTGAGCCACATCCGATATCTAATACCCATGATGTTTTGCTAGCAAAATTTAAGTCTATAACAAAGATACCTGATGAAGAAGCAACGGTGCCGTTCTTCTTATCTTCCTTGAATTTGAGGCAGTCCCGTTTCAAATGTCCCTTCTTCTTGCAGTAGAAGCATTCGGAATCGGATTTAGAAGAGGCTACCTTTTTGTCCTTGCTGCCCTTGGCAGTGTTTGACTTAGACGGAAAAGTTTTCTTTTTCCCTTTAAAGCTCTTCTTCTTGCCCGAACGTTTGAATGGCTTGCCCTTCCTCACCATGAGCATGTCATGTTTGCCCTCATCCTTGAGGGTTTGCTCAGCTTGCTTCAACATACCATGAAGCTCGGTGAGGGTTTTCTCCATGCTATGCATATTATAGTTCATCTTGAACTGATCATAGCCTTTGTGAAGCGAATGGAGAATGACGTCAATTGCCATCTCGGTTGAATACCCAGCATCAAGCCTTTCCATGTTCTCAAATAATCCAATCATTTTGAGGACATGCGGGCTGACTGGCTCTCCTTTCTTGAGCTTTCTCTCAAGGATCTGCCTGTGGGTTTCGAACCTTTCAGTTCGGGCCTGCTCTTGGAACATATTCTGCAGCTCAGAAATGATCTCAAAAGCTGTCTCCTTTTCAAAGAAAGTGTTTTGAAGGTCTGGAGACATAGTGGCCAACATGATGCATTTGACATCCCGATTGGCACTTTGCCATCGGTTAAGGGCAGCCTGAGTGACCTCCTCATTGGGAGCGTCGGGCATTTCCTCATCAAGGACGTATTCCTTTTGTTCTTGCATTAGTACAATGCGCAGATTTCTTTGCCAATCAAGAAAGTTTGGCCCGCTCAACTTCTCCTTGTCGAGAATTGAGCGTAAAGAGAATTGGTTGTTGTTTGAGTTACTTGCAGACATTGTTCTACAATTGAAAGAATTTGAAATAAAATACCATTCATACAACCAATAAGTTTGAAATTTAAAAGCGTTCATGCAAATTTTCAATCTTATTGAACATTTTATCCACGCATTAATAAATTGTCCCTTTTAGGCGAGAATAAAATGATTCTGAGATCCCAAAAATCAAAAAGTGATTAAGCATGCTTTGGCTTGTCTTAACACTAGATATTTTAGGGTAAGCAACCCAATTGCTTATAGCTCCAAGCTACTCTCGGTTTGATAAAATGTCGCATCTAATGCATCCTTGACATTTTATCTCTTTTGCCACGAGATCTAAGGACTCCTTACTGATATCGTTGAGCTTAACCAAGGCAACTCGTATACCTAGTATACCTTACGTTCCTAGGGAAGTAGTGATACCTCGCTTTGGCGTAGCCCATCACATACGCACATTAGTTCGGTAAGTGTTGTTCTTGGAACGACAGATTTTAACTCAATATTTTAAGGGACCTGTGATTTCTATGTTGGTTGATTTAAGTGAACTTAACTAATCATAGATGTAGGATTTCGTAGTGACCCTCACTACGCGAAAAGAAACCCCCCAAGACCCGCCCCTATAACTAAAACAATTAAAGCATTCAAACATAATTAATACATAATTAAAAGAAGAAGGGATAAAGAATTATACCCTAGACGCGTGCTTCGCTCGTTAAAAGAGCTCTTACTTGAACCTCGCAAATGCAAGGCCTCCGACGGCTCGTACCCTCGAACCCGACCCGATCGTCCTAAGTCCCAAAGGTTAGTCGGGACCCGAACAAAATATAAACTTGGAGTTTTACGAACTTAAGATATTCTCAACAATGGAGATGCCTATATAGTTCCACTCAAGTGTGTCTTTCCCAAATACCAAAGCTTTGGTATTTATAAGGAAATGAACCCTTAAATTTCAATCTCCCACCAATGTGGGAGAGTGAGTAAATGTGATATTTTATTTAATTCTAAATTAAATAATTAATCAAAGCAATCACTATGAAACAAGTGGCAAAAGGGTAGAGAGGTTTGAGTGAGGACTATGTCCCTTGGGGGGACCATTGCCTTGCTCCCCAAGGGAAAATTGAGGCTTTTGGTCCCTACACCTCAAACCGGCACTAGCAAGGCATGCTGGGCTAGCAGCCTGCCTTGGCTACCAAGGCTGCCAGCTGGCGCCTGGCACCAAGGCTGGGCAGCCAGCTAGCAGCGCCAGCAAGCACTCGCCCAGCACGCACTGGCGCATGCGTGTTGCTGGGCTGCTGCTAGCGTAGTGCTGCTGCTGCCTAGCCAACGCACGTGCACAGCATAACCAGCATGCGTGCTGCTAGCGAGCCACGCATGCTGGGCCTTTCCTTGCCAGCCACACGCACAAGCATGTCATGCTTGGTGCTGTGCTAGCGATGAGCTGCGATGGTGCGATAACCCTAGGCATACACACACACGCACATGCAAGTGCCTAGCACTGCGATGGTGCTGTGCTTGCGCGATGGCACATACGCACGCACACACGCCAGTGCCTAGCACTGCGATGGTGTTGTGCTGTGCGGAGGGCTGCGATGGGCAATGGGTGATGCTAGGGCGCTAGTGCTAGCTGGGCTGGGCCTTGCGACAGCACCAGCCACACAGCACTTGCGAGTGCGCCTAGCATGCATGGTACGCCTAGCACACACATGGTGCACCTAGGCTTGCGATGAACTAGCCTAGCCTAGCACTCACATGGCTAGGCCAATGTGATGCTACGGCTATGCTCGTACTTGTTGCTTGTGATTTTGCAACGCTCGGTTTCGACGCCCTAGGCTCGATATCCGACGTCTGTGTTCGTAAAACTCCGACGACTCATTGAATCCTTCGGATTAATTCGTCATCTTGGATTGATTATTTGCTGAGTTCAATCCGAAGGGTTCAGTTAAGATTAAGCTGTAATATTAATTATACCTTAATATTACTGATCGGAAGCGGCCTCCACCTAGGTATTCCGATCACTTGACCTTACTGAAGAATTAGCTCTGTAATAATTCTGAACCCTCTATCAGAATAATACACTTGTTGAAGGACACCATTCCTTTCAAAAGACTACCTTTAATTCACAAACAATTGTTGTAAAAAAAAAATAAAAAAATCACGAGACATGTTGACTATAGGATCGTAAAAGAACTACGGTTGTGATTTGTTTGACTTCTGTAAAACCTTGAACTTTGTCTTGGC